TATATATACACACATACATATAACTAACATGTCCAGTAGTAGGAATAGAGCCAACTACATGCCACAGGAAAAGCCAGGTCCACATCTCCCGCCACGACAGGACACTCTCCAGCCTCCCATGCTCTTACGAACCTCGCACAGATCCAGCAGGGCACACTGGACCTGCCGGCTGAGCCCTGGTCCCAGGTCCAGCCCCAGCTGTGCCTCTGTGATTTAGGGGAGAGGGCTGGAGCTGCCAGAGAGACATGAAGGAGCAGCATTCGTAGCGGTGACTGCGGGTTAGGTGGTATAGCCCCATTTACGGATTAAAAGTCGGTCTCAGTTTCAGTAACCAGGCCAGCTGGCTCATAACGGGAGTTCCCCATCAAGAAGAGCAGAGTCCTTTCAGGAAGCGGGAGCTGGAAAGGAACTAGGGTGCACCAGTCCCTGAATCCCAGAGAGGCCGTGGGTATCACTCAGCCTCTGAGCCTCACAGGGAGACTCAGCTGCACCTGCTCAGAAAAGGGATGTGTGCAAAGAGACTGGGGCCTCGGGAACATCTGCGCGTTTTCATAGGAGGGAGCAAAAACGGATCGGGGGTTTCCACTGGCCTGAAAACAAAATGCCATGAGCAAAGCCCATCTGTCAGGGGGACCTTGTGTAAGCAAGTCAGAGTCACATCTGGGCCACTGATTTCCCCAGCTATCCCGAATGTGGCCTCAAAGAACATCCTCCCCACTCTCCTAGGCTGACCCACACATAAGCTGTGCTGCCAAGCACAGGCAGTGCCCTCAGCTGGCGCAGACACCCTAGGCTGCCCTGGGCTCCAGCGCCTAGTGGAGCGTGGGGCTGACCTCAGGCACTCGTCTCTGGCAGATGTCGCGAACCAGCAGCCCCTGCCCAGACCCAGCCCACACGCTTATTTTGTTGACTCTCACTGTGGCTTTTGTTGATAATGCTCTTAAGAAGTATTTACTTATTGACTAGAAATATGTGCAAATAATTGGCAAGAGGTAGCCAGTGATGTACATGAACAGTAAGCCTCCTTCCCGGACCTTCTTTCAAAACACATATCCTGGGGATACACAGTAGGTCACGTTCTCATGGGGTGGAGGGGGGCAGGAATAAGAGAAATAAGTGGGTGTGTACTAAGTACTAAGGAGAAAAATGAAGCAGGAGAAGGAGCTAGTGGGGGCAAAGACACCCAGTTCCCCTCCCCCCAATCACGACTAGTGATTTCTTAAAAATCATTCTAGAAATCTTCTCTGTATGTTGTGTTATTGTTGCTGATAGATTTGTTTTCCAAATTGGGATATATTGCCTACGATTCTAGATTTCTGGTTTCTCTTGACAAATCCAAAGATCAGGCAGCCACGTCCTACAAGGCTCGGTCGCTAGTGGCAAGGCTCACCTGCCTCTTTAAGGATGCCTCTGCTGTCCAGGTCACAGCAGCTTCACCTGGCCTTGCTCTGTCCCCTGAACCAGCCCAACCCTGGGGGTTTTCCGCTTTCCTCCCCCCTTCTCTGCCCCATCTCCTGGATGCTTTTCTGCAGTGCCTTCGAGAATGCCCCCAAGGGTGCCTTCTTCCTCTCCATCCCCGTCACTGCCCTCACTCTCTGGTTCTCACTTCCTCAGAAGATACAGGCTCACCCCGCTGTCCTGTTCCATATCTGCTTCACGCCCCACCCCCTCCACCCCACGGTCTTCCTCTGCCAGCTCGCTCCACACCTCTGAGCATAAATTAGGAAATGCCCCTTACGCACACGTGCACACGCGCACACGGGAGGCCTCCCACTGCCTCACTTGGAAAGCACCAGCAGTCATTGGCCAGAGTGGCCATGTCCAGCTCCATATTCCAGGGGAAAGAAAAGTTATTGGTCACCTTGAGCCAGATGCCCAGCCCAACGCAGCACTCTGCTGCCCCGAGCAGAATCAGTTCTGTTGGCAGGAGGACGGGACACAGCTGCCGGGACAACCAACAGGTTTTCCCACGTCCGTGACCCACTTCCCCCCTCCTTCCCCAGCAGAGGGTTTTATCTTTCAGAAGTTCAAGGTAGAAGCAGAGGGAGATAATGCTGCAGAATGCTTTGGGTTGCCGTGCAGAAGCAGGAGCTCCCTCCCCACAGGTCAGGATGTACTTACACGTCAAGTTGGAGGCTGTCCGTTCGCTCATTTGTACAACAAACAATGACCTACACAGATGCCCCTGCCATTCTGGAACCGATAATTTAGTGGTAAAGACAGTAGATAGATAATGAATGATTTCAGTTGGTGAAAAAAGAAAGCAGAGGGGGTGACAGAGAAGGGCTTCGAGGAGACTGGGCTTCTCCATCTACACAGGCTGGTTTGAGAAGGCTTCATAGACACCAGGAGAGGGAACCAGCCCGGTGAAGGAGCAAGGGAGGACACCCAGATATCCTGATGGGGTTTGCTCTGTCAGAAGAACAGAAAGGAAGGTGATTGATGGGATCTTGTCAGGGGTTGGGAGAGATGTCAGGGAAACTGGCAGGGGGCCGATCCTGTGGGGTTTGGGGACCAGCAGAAGGAATTTGGATTTTGTTCTAAAGAAGGAGTCACTGGGAAGATCTCAGCAGTGATGGGAGCTGATTTACCAGTTCATAGTATCAATCCTGTGGGTTTCTGGAGACATTCCCTCCCCCAAATCCGCCAGCACTCATGGTGACTCATCTGTCATTTCCACTTCCTTTCTGGTGGGGAGGCTGGTCCAGTGGACTGCAGAACAGGCTGACAGCAGTCCAGCCTCTACACACAGCCACCAACAGACAGGACTCACAGGGGCCAGAGGAATGTGTTCAGTGACACTGAGGAGGGGTCAGCCAGGTCCTCACAGTGGGAAACTACGTGGGACAAGAGATGCTACGAATAAATGGCATCAAAATAAGGCAGGGCAGCGGGGTGCATTATAGAGCAGACGAGACTTAAGAAATGTAGCTGCCAAAGCAAAGTTTGGATCTTGATGGGAACAAAACAACTCTCAAAGACACCTTTGAGGCGATGGAAAAAATACAATGCAGACAGGGTGTTCCATGGTTATTCAATCACTTTTGTTAATCTAGATGGGTGTGATAAAGTTATCTTGGTTATTTTTTTAAAGGCCTCGTCTGCTAGAAATAGAAGCTGAAGTACGTATAGGTGAAATGGCCTATTGTCTGGAATTTATTCTAGAATATTCTGTCCAAAAGAAAGTGTGGGAGTGAGTGGATGGATAAAACAGAAATGGCAAATAGAGTAGTTCCCCTTATCCGTGGTTTCAGTTACTTGCCATCAACCATGGTTAGTCTGAAAATATTAAATGGAAAATTCCAGAAATAAACTATTCATAAGTGTAAATTACGTGCCGTTCTGAGTACCTCACTTCATCCCGTCACATAGTGTTGTATCATCTGATGTCATGACCAGAAGAAGGATGAGTACAGTACAGTAAGATATTTTGAGACCATATTCGTATAACTTTCATTACAATATATTGTTATGATTATTCTATTTTCTTATTAGTTATTATTGGTAATCTCTTACTCTGCCTAATTGATGTTAAACTTTTTTGTAAGTGTGTACGTATAGGAAAAAGCACCGTATACTTGGGGTTCCCCGGGGGATCTTGCAGCATATCCCCCATGGATAGGGGGAGACTGCTGTTGTAAATGGCTGTTGAAGCTGGTGGGGGCTCTTCATGCTCTTCTCTCCACTTTGGGGTATGTTTGGAAATTTCCATAATACAGAAGCTTTTTAAGTGAGTAAAGCTGTCGGGAAAAAAAGCCACTCTGGGATGCAGTATTATCACTTCTCACCTTTGCCTTTTCTCCCTTTTCAGCATGGCAGGGAAGACACCCCTGCAGCCAGCTGGCCCTCACCCCCATCTGCTGCTCGATCTGCCCTGCTGAGCCACTCAGACTGAAGCCCCTGGGACAGCACCTGCCTCCCGAGATTGTCCTGGCTCGGTTGTCCACAGCGATGGTGGAGAACTGGACTCCACAGACTCACAACCTTCCCGTCAGACTTCAAGGGCCAGCATCCTTCATCCTGGGACTGGCAGCCCTGAACAATGGCTGAGGGCCAGGGGACCCCATAAAGTTTCTGCACAGCTTACGGGGGCCAGTAGCACTCCAGTGCCTGGGGACTATGACCACCTATCGGCCCATCCCCAGTGATGGTGTGGACCTGGCAGCCAGCTGTGGGGCCAGGGCGGCCGATGTCCTCCCTGGGCCGCATACGGGGGACTATGCTCCCATGGGATTCTGGGTCCAGAACGGAGGCATGCCCCAGCCCGTTGGTGAGAGCCCTGCCACCGCCACTACCCGCCCCAGTCCCAGCACCCCCGCAGTGCCCAAGATGGGCGTGCGCGCAAGGGTGGCCGACTGGCCGCCCAAGAGGGAGGCCCTGAGGGAGCAGAGCAACCCAAGCCCATCACAGGACACAGATGGCACGAAGGCCACAAAGACTGCCCATTCCATGAGGAGCGTACAGAACGGACAGCCCCCCGCCAGCACCCCAGCTTCCTCAGGGTCCAGAGCCTTTCACCGACTCTCCAGGAGAAGGTCCAAGGATGTGGAGTTCCAGGACGGGTGGCCCCGGTCCCCCGGCAGGGCCTTCCTCCCCCTGCGGCACCGCAGCAGCAGCGAGATCACCCTCAGCGAGTGTGACGTGGAGGACGTGGGGGAGCCCCGGGCGGCGCGGCTCACGGGGGCACTGCCCCTCTTCCGCGAGTACGGGAGCACGTCCTCCATCGACGTGCAGGGTGTGCCTGAGCAGAGCTTCTTCGACATCCTCAACGGGCTCCGCAGCGAGCAGCCTGAGGCCCGCGGTTCCCAGAGCCTCAGCCAACTCCTCCAGGACGATCATGGCCCGAACCTCACGGTGGGCAACAATGGGGCCAAGGGCGACCCCCATAACGGGCAGCCCACCAGGGACAGCATACTCCCACTGCAGCCGGGGAAGGAGAAGGAGCGGGCCCGCAAGAAGCCTGTGCGGGGCCCGGGCAGTGGGGACGCAGTGGACTCGTCCATCTTCCGGAAGCTGAGGAGCAATAAACCCGAGGGTGACATGGGCCGGTCCCCGGGGGAGGCAGAGGAGGGGCGGGGCCCACCGGAGGCCAGCAGGCCGTGGGTCTGCCAGAAGAGCTTCGCTCACTTTGACGTGCAGAGCATGCTGTTCGACCTCCACGAGGCGGCCGCCAACAGGGTGTCCATGGCCCAGCGGCGGAACACCACCACGGGGGCCTCGGCCGCCTCGGCCATGGCGTCCCTCACGGCGTCGCGGGCACATGGCCTCGGGGGCCTGGACCCAGCCTTCACCAGCACAGAGGACCTGAACTGCAAGGAGAACCTGGAGCAGGACCTGGGCGATGACAACAGCAACGACCTGCTGCTCAGCTGCCCACACTTCCGCAACGAGATCGGCGGGGAATGCGAGCGCAACGTGAGCTTCTCCCGGGCCTCAGCGGGCTCCCCAGGGGGCACCGAGGGCCGCCTGGCCGAGCCCACCCTCAGCGCCTACCGCACCAACGCCAGCATCTCAGTGCTGGAGGTGCCCAAGGAGCAGCAGAGGACGCAGAGTCGGCCCCGGCACTACAGCATCGAGCACGTGGACCTGGGCGCCCGCTACTACCAGGACTACTTCGTGGGCAAAGGTGACCGGGGCGGTGGGACGCTCCCTGCGCATCCAGTCAGTGTGTGCGGGGACCGGCCAGGGTGGAGGTGGGGGCGCGAAGACGCAGTGAGCGAGCCTCAAGACACGTGGCTGGCACTCCAGAGCCTTGAGCTACGTGAGACAATAGATACGTATTTATTTAGCAAGTATGTGCTTGGTTCACCTATGTGCCAGGCACTTTCTAGAGCCTGGGCATACAGTATTGGCCAGCTTAACACAAAAACCGTGTCTTCCTAGCACTTGATGTCTTAGGGGTGTAAGGCAAACCATAAAACTAGATAAATACATAAAATATATCATACATAAACACCAGAAGGAGATAAGTACTGTGAAGAAAAGTAAAGCAGGGAAGAGAGAAATAGTGTCAGGGTAGGAGTTTGCAATTTTCAATAGGTAATGATCAGGGAGGGGCTCCTAGGTAGGTGCCATTGAGTCCTGAGCCGAAGGAGGTCGGAGATTGGGGACCGGGTTCCTGGCATTGGGAACAGCAAGTAGAGTAGTTCTGGAACTCTGAAAAAATAGGGAAGAGGCCATTGTTGCTGGAACGGTTGACGGGGAGAGTGGAAGGAGCCAAGGCAGAGAGGGGACGGGGCAGATCATGTGGGACTCTGTGGGCCGTGGCAAGGACTCTCACTTTCACCCTGAGTGAGATGGAGCTGCGGGAGGGTTCTGAGCAGGAGAGGGCCCTGATCTGCCTCGGCCGTTCATAGCCCCGCTCTCCAGCAGTCCAGGCAGGACATGCTGATGGATCCATCTGAAGTAGGGGTGGGGAAGAAGCAGGCAGGTTCTGGATCCCCTTTGAAGGTGGAGTTGTCAGTGTTTGAAAGGTGTTAACATCGGGAAGAGATGGGCTTCATACATCATTAGGTTCATTGGTGCTTGCGAGGCCGTCCCACGAGGCAGCATGGCATAGTGCAGAGACCACAAACTCAGGCAGCACACGCATAGAAGTGAAGCACGCCAAGCAGGGACTAGCAAAGAGC